CCCAACACATGACCAGATCTCTTCCCGGGTGCTGCAAGTTCTGGCAGAACCTACGGACCAGAATCAGGGTCCTCTGAGACAGGCCTGCAGAGAGCTGGGTGGAAGGTTCTGTCGGGTCTGGCTGGGGGAGGAATGGCTCTGGGCGCCACCCTCTAGGCTCAATGCAACCTTGTGGTGTTGTCCAGGCCACCCAGCTGCCACCTCCTCTAGGGAAACAGCCCAAGTGCCCAAAACAAAGATGTGGATTAATGGAAACTCATCAGGACACTTTCACAGAACTGGCAAACCCAGGGAAAAGTGTCTCCCAGTCTGTGGCGTTAGTCCATTCATGCACCCCTGCCCCACTGCTGCCTCATAGCACAGACACAGACGATGGGTGGCCTCAGGGAAGTAGCTGGGCTGACCCCTCCCTCCCTGAGAGAGGTGGGAACACCGTTTGCATTCTGCTCACTGCTGGCTTACTGGGGAGACAAGCCGGAGCTTCCCCCCTGTGGGAAAAGCCTCTAGGTCCCTCACATCCAGGGACACAGGGGGCCTCCAGACGGCACTCTTCCTCAACACAGAACAAAGCACCCTTCACTGAGTTAAGCATATGGCGCAGGAGCCAGTATTGCTGCCACAGACAAACTTGACACTGCACCATTCCTAAGGCCCCTACCACCTGAGGCCGCTTCTGCTGCCTGGTGACTGGCCCTGACAGGGATGAGCCTTTCCAGGAGCAGGTCAATTCATCCAAAGCTAGACAGGGCGGGGGTGGACAGGGGAGGGGGGAAGGCAAAGGCCAAGAGGCTCCCGGGTCTGCCACACTCTGCAGCCCACAGAGTTCAGGGTTCAGCTGAGTGGATAATGGGCCCAAATGCAGCCCCTTCTGGCCACCCTGACAACAGGACTCCGGGTTCTGTCAGGTTCTATCCTCAGAACCTGAGCAAATGGGCCCGGAGCCAAAGCTGGTGGGTGGAGCAGACAAGACACCTGCTCCAAGATCCCCTAGGCCCTTCACTGTCCCATTCATTCTTCTGGAAAATCCCCTTCTGAGACAGGACTGGATTCTGCTGTGGGCATCAGAGCTGCTCATGAGTTTGCTGGAGATGCAGGTTGGGGGGTGAGCCCCAGAAATCTGCACACAGTCACAGCTAAGAAGGCGGAGGGTGAGTCTGCTGGGTCCTGCTCGGCAGAGGCGAGGCCCTGGACCATGCAGCCTGTGATGCCCAAACCCCCTCTTTGAAATGAAATGTCTGTGAGTGTGCTACAGACACGTGCATGAGTCAAGACTGCAGGACACATTCCAGACCCCGGCTGTCCCAAACTCAGACCATCAACATCAGGGACAGGGTGGCAGCTCCATGGTGAAGCACCTGCCGTCCACCTGGGTCCAATCCCTGGCACTGGAGGATGAGTGAGGGTAGGAGGCAAGACAGCAGAGCTGACATAATCTCAAAATACTGCGCGAACTCTTGCATCAAACCCATCCTGAAGCCATGCTTACTGCTGTTCTTCATTTCAAAGTCAACTCTCCTTCAGGAACAAGATCGTGAGGACTGACTTTCTATCAGCCCCCAGCTAAGGAGGCTGACAGACACACTCACAAGTCCCATGGCTCGAAGGCCTTTCTGGGCATGCTGCTACCTAGACAGCCCCTTCTCCCCATCCCACACCACAAAAGGAGAGGTCAGCCACACTCGTGGGTCAGCCACACTCGTGGGCCTAACTTGCCAAGTGAGCTGGGTAGAGCAGACAGTCACAGACAGCTACAGTGCTGCTGCAGCCCCTAGGCCCTCACCAAGCCCATCCACACTCCCACTGCTGGTGACTGCTGGGTCAGGCCAGCGAGCAGAGGACAGGGACTAAGCAGAGATCCGGGAAGATGTGGGGACTCGTGGCCGCATGAGCGCTATTTGGAGCTAGAACCTCAATATAACACAGTCCAGCCATCCAGACTTGTCTAATAACTAAGGAAGGAAAAAAACAGGATTAAAACATGGAACTGCTTCAGTCTTGCAGAGCAGCAACATTCAGAGCCATTTCCCTAGAAGTCTCCACACAGACAATATGTCAAACTTCAGACTAAGCCACAGATGCAGCCAAGAGTCCCCCTAGAAACATAACCTTTTGTGTTTCTGTGATCCAACATGAATCTCTCCATTTAGGACTAGGACATGCTGCAAAGAGTTGTTTCCACAATTGCCATGACACCATCACCAACATGCCAGCAGCTCCGCCTGCTTTCACCCAGAACTTTGGTTTCCCAGTAAATAGATGACTGCACCTTGCAGCTGCTTTGCCATCTGAGGCACTCAGAATCAGGCGTGGCTCCCCTCAGGGACAAAGACGTCAGCAGGCCCCTCTTCTGCCCTCTCTCATCTGGACACCTGCTCTGTCTCAAGAGAGGGAGGCTCAGAGGGTACTGTCATATGCTGATTTAAGTTATTTGTCACAATCTGCTATAATATTATGTAGTTTAAGAAAACAAAATTTCAACTGTGCTGGCTGTGTGAGTCCCTAACAGGCCCTGGGTAAGTTCCTCACAGACCCCAGTGAGTCCCTCACAGACCCTGGGGTGAGTCCCTCACAGACCCTGGTGAATTCTTCACAGATCCTGGGGTGAGTCCCTCACAGACCTGGGTGAATCCCTCACAGACACCAGAGGAGTTCCTCACAGGCCCTGGGGGGAATCCCTCACAGACCCCAGGGGAGTCCCTCACAGACCCTGGGGAAGTCCCTCACAAGCCCTCAGGTGAGTCCATCACAGGACTCTTGCTCCTCGGGGTGAGTCCCTCACAGGACTCTTGCTCCTCGGCAGAAACCCCTCAGGCTGTGGGCAGATAAGCTGGTGAGCCTATGTGAGAGTTCTGAGAGCTCTAAGGCACAGTCCAGAACACCAATCTGCAGCGAAGTCACTGTTAGTTTAAAGCACAAACAAACCTGAAGAACAGACTTTCTGTGGCTCTGTCCACACAGCCATAAACAGAGAAAACCACAGGCACGCTCAGTGGGGCAGAGTGGAAAGACGAGATGTTGACTCTTACATTTCACAGAACTGAGCCACCTGTGGGATGAAGACTACGTGTGTATGCTGCAGAGCACATACACGCCTGGATATATAGACCACAAATGTGCAACCCGTGTATGGGTACCAGCCCCTGCTTCACAGCAAGGTGGGCATTGTACACAGGTGAACACTATGGGCAACAGAACCAGGCCTGAAAAATCTGAGTGCAAGCACCAGACCTCATGGAAACGAGGTGCTGGCACATCCCCAAGAACAATGACTCTTGTCTCTGCCCCTCTGAGATGCGACTGATCACTGAGCATCAATGGCGCTTGGCATGGGTCACAAAAAAAGAGTATAGTAGCGGCCCACACAGCTACCACCCCAGGGGAAATTATTGACGGCGTGAAGGGGGAACATTCTGGTGCCAACACCTCACTGACCATGAATGGCCACTCTCCAAGTGCTTTCCTGGGACAGCAGGAAGGCTGTGGACAGCAGCCAACCTCCACGCTCCAGGCAGCCGCCTGTCCCCGTGGTCATGAGGACTTGTTTTCCGACTCTTTCTCTTCCTGATGAAGTAACTCAGACATCCCATTCCTTCTAAAGCGAGAACAAGAGCTAAATTTAAACGCAATCACTTAATGGGGCACCTGCAGTGCCAAGCAGCTAACAATCTATCAAAAAAAAAAATCAGCCCATTCCAAATACAGGAGAGATTTGCCGCGTGTTTATCAGCTGGCTCTGTAGCTCTCAGCCCCAGGGTGGCCAAAATAAAGAGCACCCGAAATCAGGCCGTTCCCCAAATCAGCTCCCTGCACCCCAGAGCACACATAACAACTCCCAGGTCCCTTGGGCATGTGTGAGCAATGAGCACATACCCAGATGGTGACTGACACCACCCGGAAGGCAGGCCCTCTGGGAAAATGTCCTCAGTGACACCGTCTGCAGCAGCGGACGCAATGACAAACAGGTCTTGTAAGAGGAACTGGATCTGTTGAACTGCCAATGGTGACAAAGGACTTGGAAATATTTTCCAGTCATCTCCACATTCCCAATAACCCAGTCTTGATGATTAAATGACGGGACTATAGAGTACACACACATATACAACACAGCTGAGAGTCACAGACAGATTCTCTCTGCTGCCTTTCAGGACAAGGTAAACCATAAAATAGAAAAGTATAGGTATACTTTGGTTACCGCTTTGGTAACCAAAGTCAAGTGAATACAACCTGGCTGGGTCCATTCCAGCCACCATCTCCTCTACCATCTCCATCATCTCCTCCATCTCCATCCCCACCACCATCTCTACCCCCACCAATTCCTCCACCGTCTCCACCATCTCCACCATCTCCCCACCATTTCCTCCATCTCTATCATCTCCACCAACACCCCCAAAATCAAACACTAAGCAGAGGACTGAGCAACCCTAGGTTTCGCCTTCAAACTCTAGACCTGGTCATGTAACAGCTTATCTTCCAGAATGCAGGCGTAAGTCAAGCTCAACACTGATCCTCAGGGTAAAAGTGAACTGGAATCTCACTCAGTCTGTGGTTCTACTTCAGCCTCTGTCACAGGAAGCACCTCTCCCTCTCTGTGGCACTGACTCTCATGCCTGCTCTTTCCTCCTCCTGACTAGGAGTCTCTTCACCACCAACAGCCTGGCCAAGACCCCAGCACTGCTCCTCAGTACTACAGGTCCAGAATCACTCTCCCCACATATCCCCGCCTGGGATGTGGCTATCGGTGTCAGGGGCACGCTTGGTCCTGTTACTCCCCTCTCCCAGACACAAGCCCATGCCCTCACACAAGCCTGATGACTCAGCCTTGTCTGGACAACCTCTTTTCCTACAGCAAACTCATTCCTGTCTCAGGGCTCTGCAAGGCTGTGCCCCCAGACACTGCCATCTGCAAAAGGCACAGGCCACATCAGTCTGTCTTCATGGGGGGCTACCACACAGATTGGGCATGTAGTAAACTTGACAGACACATCCCCAGGAAGACTCACCGTGTCCCGCTGCTGAGCTCCTGGTCTCAGGATGAGGCGAGGCTGAGGAATCCAAGTAAGGTCTTCCCGCAGTCAGGAAGGCAGGTGCGCTCGTTCAGGTAAGAAGGGTCATCCTGCGCGGAGAAACACACAGCCCATCGCCATACAATCCCTACAACCACTGTGACCTCTGTGCCCCACCTCGGCCTACACCACCAATTCCTCACACCAAGGGATGAGGGACACATCCTGGTTTTGCCCACTGTCATGATCCTTTTCTTCACCCACATGTCTGTATGAAAAGAGCAGGAAGACACACCCAGGCCAGAACGACCATTCCATGACTCAGTAAAACCAAGTCTGGATGTGCTAGACAGTGGGGGCCTGTGAGGGGAACCGTACAACGCCTGAGTACCATGGCTGACTACAGTGCCATCAGTACTGAACCTTCAGAACTGTGCCCTGAGTACAGCACCCTGAGTACAGTGTCCTGAGTACAGCACCCTGAGTACAGTGTCCTGAGTACAGTACCTGAGTACTGAGCCCTGAGTACTGGGTGCTGGATCACCCCAGGTAGCTGGATCTCCAGGCTGAGAACTAGGGGCCTTCTCAGAATGGGGGTGGATCCAGGATGGAGTCTCTGTCCTGCCGAGAGGCCCAGAGCCCCACCCACCCCCAATATCCTCTGGCATATAAATGATCTGGCTCCTCAAGTAATCTTAAGGACACGCCAAGTGCAGCACCCCAAGTACTGCACTCTGAGTACTGTATGCCATGTACAGAGCCCTCAGTACTGTGCACTAAGTATAGTAACCCGAGTACAGAGCCCTGAGTATAGCACCTGAGTACTGAGCCTGAGTACAGTGCATTTCCTGTCTGTTGTACTTCCACTCCAGCCTGAGCAGTATTTACAAATTCTCAGACTCCAGAAAAGAAAAGAGGAGTTGGAGTAACTCAATTTTCATCAGAAAGCTGATGGGGCCAGCAAGAAACAGTCTTGCACATATGTGACCCAGGTTCAATCCCAACAACCTGTGTAGTCCCAAAGCCCCACCAGGAATGGTCCCTGAGAGCAGTCAGGATTGAGCCTGACCACAGCTGCATATGGCCCCAAAACAAAAACAAAAAAATTGTTTTGCAGCCTAGCTCCACAGCAGCCCTAGTGATCTCGAAGAGATGCCCAGGTGCTGGATCACCCCAGGTAGCTGGATCTCCAGGCTGAGAACTAGGGGCCTTCTCAGAATGGGGGTGGATCCAGGATGGAGTCTCTGTCCTGCCGAGAGGCCCAGAGCCCCACCCACCCCCAATATCCTCTGGCATATAAATGATCTGGCTCCTCAAGTAATCTTAAGGACACGCCAAGCCACTCAATCATCTCAACTCCACACCTGTGTGATCACATGACACCCCCAAATTTTACGGTACTGACAGCCCAGCAGGAAGTGAGATGGGAAAGTTGTGTAGAAGCCCACTAAGCTCAATGAATGAAAACAGTAACACAGACAGCTCAACTAGCAACAAACAGTTCAGTTCGCAATGACTTTAATAACAAACACCTTTGTGAGATATAACACTTATCACAAAATTTTCTCTTACTGAACTAATTTTTGATAATTCCATTTTGCCATGTAGTTGTAATAAGCAATACAAAGTAAATTATTCTGAGCCTGCTAAGGGGGCAGGTTTGAGGGGTGGATGGGAAACTAGGAACATTGGTAGAAGAAAGGTCACACTGAGTATTGAAACATTGAGAGCCTAAAACAACAGTATTATGAACAACATTGCAAAACAGTGTTTAAAGTTTTGAAAAAGATTTTTTTTTAGGGTGAGAGAGTACAGCAATTAGGGCACTTGCCTTGTATGTAGCTGACATGGGATTGATCCCTGGTACCCTATACTGTCCCCCGAGCCGCACCACAGTGAACCCTGAGCACAGAGCCAGGAGGAAGCCCTAAGTACCACAGGGTGTGTCACACACACACACACACACACACACACACACACATTGAAAAAAAGCATTCAAGAGAGTTTGGAGGCTGGAAGTAGGCAAGGGTTGGGGGGTGAGGCAGGCAGCAGCTGAGGCTTTAGCGCGGAGTCTGAACCAACAGTCTGCAGGACAAAATTTGCTTGCCTCGACAGAGTAAACATTTCCTGGTCACTGACCAACTTCCTGGTCATTGTCAAGCCTAAATAAATCAGTGCCATCTCGTTCAGAAGCCGGCCTGCCAGGCAGACTGGGAATGTTCCTGTCCTGGTTCGAGTGAGACAGTAATGAGATTTCTAACGACACGCAAAGATGTGTGCAGAGATGTCTAGACAGAGACAGGGTCTGCTTCCTGGAGCGGCGCCTGCAAGCCGAGACTCAGGCAGCACACACTGGAAGACTGGCAGAGACCCTACAAGCCCCCAGCCCTCACACACGACGCTCACTGGAGACGGGACTGAGGCCTGTGCACAGAATAGCCTCCCTGAGGAGACCCAGAGCCCACAGGCACCAACACCCCAACACCCACTGGCTGCAAAGACCAGTATTGAGCAGTTCATGAAGAGCTGATGGATGAAATGTGGAGACTCAAGTGTGCTCCAGATTGTCACAGCGTGAGTCCCTGTCAGTCCCCTCCACTCACGGTGTCAGTCCCTGTCAATCCTGCCCCACTCACCATGTGAGTCCCTGTCAATCCTCCCCACTCACCATGCGAGTCCCTGTTAATCCTCCCCACTCACCATGTGAGTTCCTGTCAGTCCTCCCCTACTCACAGTGTGAGTCCCTGTTAGTCCTCCACCTAGGTCCTCCCACGTGTGGTCTCAGCCTGCACCCAGCCCATACCAGGAGAAAACATGACCGCACTCATTGTCCCCTCATCTGGACACAACTCTGCCCCTCCACAGCTCTGAGTTGGAAAACACAGGCCCAGAAGCAAGAGTCTACTGCAGAGCACAGCTATAGTGTGTGCTTGACACTGTGGACACAAGGCTCAAGGAACACACAAGGGGACATGGAGCTCAGGTCACACACAAGGGGACATGGGATTCAGGGCACAGACAAGGGGACACAAGACTCAGAGTACAGACATGGGGACACGGGGCCCAGGACATACATAAGGGAACACGGGGCTCAGGGCACACTCAAGCAGACATGGGGCTCCAGAGTGACAGTTATCATGGGACTCAGGTTAAAGATAAATGGACATGTGATCAGGGCTGACACAGTGGACACAAGCTAAGGGCACAGAGAAGTGACACGGAGCTCAGGGCTGACACGGTAAATAGAGGGGTCGGGGATGATACAGTGACATGGAGTACAGGGCTGAGACCGCAGATACAGGACTCAGGGCTGATATGGTGAACACTATGCCTGCAGTCCCTATGCCTGCGCTGTCCTTGGTCCTGACCACCTCACCCAAGGATCCTGCCTGGGCCACAGGCCCCTCTCTGACCTGGGCTCCCTGCACTGTGGACACTACCTGATCTAAGCAGTCCCAGAAAGGTGACAACAAAGCCCCTGGTTGCACAGACCCCTGGTTTCAGTGACCACCTGTCTCCAGTTCTAAGCCCCATCTTGCTGGCTACCAGAGTGTGCCATCCAAGCAAGCCCTGACAGGGACACTAACACCCTGGGCCCCTAGACCCTGCCTCTGCTGTTTGCTCAGAGCCCGCAGGAAGCCTGTTTACTTATTCATGTCCAGGAAAGCTTTATGTCAGCTAAGCAGGATGGGAACTCGATCTCTGGGCAGGCACGGCACATACTCGGCATGTCCAGCCAGGCACGTCCGTCACTGGGAACAGCACAGCTGCTGAGCCCCGCCAGGTTGTTTGGGCCAGTCTTTCTCTGACCCTGCCTCACTCAGTCCCCAGGAGTGGAACAGAGGTCTCAGCCCAGGGAGCAGAAATGGGGAACTCAAGAGCTGGAGACTGCTGGGTGCAAGCAGCAAGAGGGGCACTTGGATCTCAGTGACCTGCCTGCATTCTCTCCAGGACACACCACAGGGCCATGTCCACACCATACAGTTCCCTCCCCTGTGGGCGCTATCCACACCAGAGGACCAGAGGCTTGGAAACAGGGACCCCGAGCGCCGGGCTCTACTCTTCTTCTTGCCCCTGTTCCAGCCTTGCAGCACCCACTGTCTGCTCCAGCACACAAAGCCCTCCCTCCATTCACTCACATCCCCAGACACCCCTTTTTGCATCTCTATCCTGAGCTGTTTTCCATCAGCTCCAGGGAAGCCTGGTGGGACCCCCCCACACACACACTCCCGCCTGCTTCGTGGTACTCCTCAGTGAACTGTCAAGAGGGGAAGGCAAAGGGAGCACAAGGGTGATTTAACTCCTGCCAAGTACCATACCAGATTCCACACCTCAGGTCATACTGCTTCCTGCTTGTGTCCAATCAGGCTCCAACCAGGTTCCACCTCAGACCTACCTGACGGGGACCACTGGGGAACGTAAGCAGTCAGATTTCAAGGGCAGGATGGCAAGCAGGGCATCCAAAGAACTCAGAACAGACCCCAGACAAGACCTGGCGTAAGGCCAGCAATGACATTACCTCAACAGAGAAAGCGAGGCACCCAGGCACAAGAAAAACTCCTGAAAGTATGGCTCGGTCCAATTCTGGCTGACTTTGGGCAAGCCAGGCCATTACCTACAGACCGTCCTATTGGTTCCCCAGTAATGAGCCACTGTGTCTTCCACTTCTACTGCTTCTGTCACTGACCTTCTCTACTGTCTCCCTCAACCCCGTCTCTGTCATTTCCAGGGTCATCACCTCTGTCTCCACCATCTCCACCATCTCCACCATCTCCATCTCTGCCACCACTATCTCCGATGTCTTCACTCTTAGATCTTCAGGATTAGGCTAAGCCACTGTTCGCCCCTTGCAGGCTAAACTCAGCCCTGATTGTGGACTTTACTCCATAATCAGAGTAGCCTTGGGTATCACACTCTCCACTCAGAGTACACTGCTCTGGAAAGCCAATACCAGTGCCCAGATAAGAAATGAAGGCAGAATTGAAAACCACACACATGTACACTGTCGAATGACTCCCCAAGCCTCTGGCTCCTT